CTCTAAGGTTGGACAGTCTGTTCAGTGCTTCTATGTCTCTGGATCTATTTTTGTTCATCAGTTTATGTTGTTCATTATATTCCACAAATAAGTGAGATCATGTGATATTTTTCTTTCTCCAATTGGCTTATTTCGCTTAGCATAATGCTCTCCAGGTCCATCTATGCTGTTGCAAATGGTAAGAGTTTTTTCTTTTTTTTACAGCCGTGTAGTGTTCCATTGTGTAAATGTACCAGTTTTTTAATCCACTCATCTGCTGATGGGCACTTAGGCTGTTTCCAAATCTTAGCTAGTGTAAATTGTGCTGCTATGAACATAGGAGTGCATATATCCTTTCTGATTGGTGTTTCTGATTCCTTGGGATATATTCCTAGAAGTGGGATTACTGGGTCAAATGGGAGTTCCATTTTTAATTTTTTGAGGAAACTCCATACTGTTTTTCACAGTGGCTACACCAGTCTGCATTCCCACCAGCAGTCTTCCTGATTTCTTATCCGCCACACATGAGTGTGGGACCCGGCCATTCCTTGTTTCCACCCCTCCAACCAGTTTAGTGTGGCTTTTTTTTAATATTCTTAGTTGTAGGTCTTTCCTTCAGCTAGATTTCAGGCAGTAAAGTAATGAATGATTCTTAAATTTTGGGTTTGGTGATATTGACTTCATTAACTTCTTCACACAGGTAACCTGGACAAGCATGAAGAACTAGAAAAGCTTGTGGCAAGTTTCTTGGGAGTAGAAGCTGCTATGGCATATGGCATGGGATTTGCAACAAATTCAATGAACATTCCTGCTCTTGTTAGCAAAGTAAGACTTAATGAAAACTCCCTTATATATATCATATTTTGTCATTAATGAAAACTCCCTTATATATATCATATTTTGTTTTATAAAACATTCAGAGCAAGCCAGAAACTATTATAAATTTAGGTTAAATATAGTTTTGGATAAGTATATACCATAGAGACTTACATCAATTGAAGCTTTCTTATTAGAACCCATGATCCCTTCCTCTCCCATTAGATGACACTTGCCTTCTTCATTTCATACAGTTTTAAAGGGATTCTAATAAATAAAACCTTATAAATGGCTAAAATTATGGAAGAAAGAATGTTTTGTTTGGAAAGTTATTTAACAGGTAGTTTTTCCCCAAATAGAAAAATTTGAAAATATAAACTTGTTCTCAGAGTAATGTATATTACTGAAAGACATATGAGCAAATTATATGTGTGTCTATATATATGTTAGTAATAATGTAGGTTAATAATGTGTGTAGAACTTCTGTGAGGGGACAGTAGAAGAAAAGAGATGAGACATTGTAAATCACATTTTAGCAGTTCTTCAAAGGTTATTTATTCTCATTTTAACAGTGATCTGTGAATGGTATCTTGAAAAAATCATCAGTGCATTGAGTCAGAAGACTTGAGGTTTTTGTTTGTTTGTTTGTTTTTAATATATATTTTATTGATTTTTTTACAGAGAGGAAGGGAGAGGGATAGAGAGTTAGAAACATCGATGAGAGAGAAACATCGATCAGCTGCCTCTTGCACACTCCCTACTGGGGATGTGCCCACAACCAAGGTACATGCCCTTGACCGGAATCGAACCTGAGACCCTTGAGTCCGCAGGCTGACGCTCTATCCACTGAGCCAAACCGGTTAGGGCAGAAGACTTGAGTTTTTGCTTGTTTGATTGTATGGTCAAATTTAGCTGTGTGACTGAACAATGTCAAAACCTTTCTGAGCCTCAAATTTTCCTTTGTAAAATTAAGTACTTGAATTAGATTAACTCTAAAGTCCTTTTCAGTTATATAAATCCAGGGAACAGAAGAAAGAGAACAGAAAGCAAGAGGGGAAATTTAAACCTATATTGGCATTACATTAAATGGAAATGGTTTATACATTCCAAGTAAAAGACAGAGATTGTCAGATTAGATAAAATTTAGTATGTTTGTACCAGAAATCAACTTTAAATTTAAAGACACAAGTAGGTTTAAGTAAAAGAATGGAAAAGATATAGCATGTAAATAATAATCAAAAGGAAGTTGGCGTGCTCTGGCCAGGTGACTCAGTTGGAGCATCATCCTGTACACCAAAAGGTGGCAGGTTTGATTCCTAATCAGGGCACATACCCAGGTTGTGGGTTCAATCCCTGGTTGGGGTGCATGCAGGAGGCAACTAATCAAAGTTTCTCACATCATTGTTTCTCTTCCTCTCTAAAAATCAATAAAAATTCAAGAAAAAACACACACAAAAAGTGATAGAACTAGTATGAAAATCTAAGGAGATAGAACATTTGAAAAACACAATTAACCAACTTAACATTTATGAAACATTTCAACCAGCAACAGCAAAACATTTACCAAGAGACCATTTTCTGCAACCTTAACAAATTTAAAAGAATTGAAATTATTCAAAATACTAGAGGCCCGGTGCACGAAATTTGTGCAGTGTGTGTGTGTGTGTGTGTGTGTGTGTGTGTGTGTGTCCGTCCCTCAGCCCAGCCTGCACCCTCTCCAATCTGGGATCCCTCTCACAATCCAGGACTGCTGGCTCCCAACCGCTCGCCTGCCTGCCTGCCTGATTGCTCCTAACTGCTTCTGCCTGCCAGCCTGCTCACCCCCTAACCACTCCCCTGCCAGCCTGATTGATGCCTCACTGCTTTCCTCTCGGCCCAATTGCCCCTAACTGCCCTCCCCTGCTGGCCTGGGCACCCCTAACTATCCTCCCCTCCAGGCCTGGTCCCCCCCAACTGCCCTCCCCTGCTGGCCTGGTCACCCCTAACTGCTCTCCCCTGCAGGCCCGGTCACCGCTAACTGCCCTCCCCTGCTGGCCTGATTGCCCACAACTGCCCTCCCCTGCTGGCCATCTTTGACCACATGGGGGTGGCCATCTTGTGTGTTGGAGTGATGGTTAATTTGCATATTACCTTTATTAGATAGTACGTTCTGGAATTGACTTAGAAATCGGTAACACAAAGAAAGATACCTGGAAAATCCTCAAATAATTGAAAAGTAAATGACACACTTTTAAATAACCCAGGCTCAAAGAAAGGCAAAATTGAAAATACTTGAACTAACTGGAAATGTAATATAATTTGTGGGAGGAAGCTAAAGCCATGCTCAGATGGAAATATATAGCATTAAATGCTTATATTTGGGGGGAAAAAAGAGTTTTGAATCAGCCATCTAAATTCCTACCACACTCATGAAATGACATCAAACCAACAAAATTGAAACTCTATGAAGACTATCTGGTATATCAGATTTTAAGTATAAATAAAAAACCTATTGCTATATATCTGGGTATTTATGTCCATCTCAGGAATGAAGACGTTAAAAGGCTAGAATTTTGCATCTACTTCTAAATTAATTTTTTTGGGAAAAAAAACCAACTATACTTTATTTCTTCCTGAAATTGATAGTTTGCTGTTATACAAGCTTTCCTTAATAGGCTATAATTATTAATGATTTTAGCATTTGATCTTTTGTGTAATGAAACCTCACCTGCCTCCACCCCAGCTTCTTACTTCCTGTGCTTGTGGTTTTGCAGGGTTGCTTGATTCTGAGTGATGAACTGAACCATGCATCACTGGTTCTGGGAGCCCGACTCTCAGGAGCAACCATTCGAGTCTTCAAACACAACAGTGAGTTTGTTGTGGAGGTCTTAGTGTTTAGTATTCCTTGGATTTGTGGCAGTGGTTATATTAATAATAGAAAATATAAATGAAGATGAAATAGCAACATTTAAAATGTTTTTCTGAGCCCTGGCTGGATAGCTCAGTTGGTTAGAGCATTGTCTCTATACACCAAGGTTGTGGGTTTGATTCTCCGGTCAGGGCACATACAAGAATCAACCAATGAATGAGTAAATAAGTGGAACAACAAATCTCTCTCCCTCCCTCCTTCCCTCCCTTCGAAAGCCAAAACTTTCTTCCTAAATGGAAATGTGTTGTGTATTATTAAAATACTTATTTGCAATAAAAATGCATAACTTTTGTAGTTAAAACATTCACATGTAGAGAAGAAAGATTACCAACTGTATTTTTAATATCATCTTTTACCAAAGTGAGTACATGTACAAACAAGTCTAGAAGAATATACAACAAAATAGTAGATCTGTGCTCCTGGTTGGAAGGTTAGAGATGGTAATAACTTCCTGCCTTTTGTCTTTGTCTTGTCTAAAATGTTTTACAAGAAGAATGATGCAAATAGCATTTTGTTTTATGTAAATGGGACTTATTAAACACCACTGTGGAACCTGCTCTTTTCTTACAACACATCGGGAACTTTGGCAATACATGTGACTCTCCTCCTCCCCTAATGTCAGGGTGGCAGGCAGTGTCTGGAAGTGCCCTTATTCAGACTGTCTCTCAGTTTGGACATCGAGGTTGTTTCTAAAATTTTCTACTAGAAACGGTACTACCTGTTACCCACATTTTTGCTCAATGGTGTGATTAGTGCCTTGGGATGAATTCCTAGCAGTCTTAGAATGCCTGGTTAAAAGGGCACACATATTTTTGTACTTTTCCAAATTGCCTCCAAGCATTGTACAGACTTTTACTCAACAACATGACAGTGACTCACAAGCCAACTTAGGCCATTATGAAACATTTTAAAACTTCCCTTCTCTAATAATCAACATGTTAATTTTATTTCTTTAATTATTAGGTGTCAAGCAACTTTTTATACAGTATTGTGTTTGAATTTCTTTGTAAATTGGCCATTTTCAAATGTTTTCTCTTTTTTACTGATTATAAGAGCCCTTCCTATTTTCTTTGATATTGCATTATTTTTTATGTTACTTTTAACTTTGTTTTTAGTTTCTTGCTGTGCAAACTTATTAAAATGCTTATGTTGTCACATTTATTATCTTGTGACTTGGATTTTATGTTAATACCTTCCATATTTTAAGATAATAGGGTTATTCTCTTATTTTCTTCTGGTAGTTTTGTGGTGTTTTTTATTTACATCTTTATTCTTACATGGGATTGTGAAGTATAAGAGAGATACTAGATTTTTCTCCCTAAGTTGATAATATGGTTAAGCATTCTACAGATATTTCCTTTCATCTAAAATTTTGAATCAGTATTTATTTTTCTCCTCTTTTCTGTATGTAAACAGAGGAAATTAAAACAATGACTACATTTTTACTGGCTCTTGCTGATTGCCAGATGCTGCCCTCTGCAGCAGGACTAGCCACTTCAACACTTCCGGGACAGCATCTCCTGTCTCTGGGTCAGGTAGCAGACAGATTGTGTTCTTATGAATAACTGAAGGTGTCAACACAATCACAATCTACGGCCATCTTATCTGTGTTTGTGGTGTTTTTATTATTTCTCTTTTCTACCAAAGTCCTTTCTATGAAAAGAGCAAAATCATGTAATTTTGTAACACCCTCCTTCAGTGAGGAGCAATAAAGACTATAAAATCAGATTTTATGATGGCTTGCCTCCCACCCTTGTTAAATATACTGCAGACTTCATGTTACAGTTTTCTTGAGGTGTTTTTTTTTGTTTGTTTGTTTGTTTGTTTGTTTTTGGAGCGGGGTTCCTTAAGGGCAGTGTTTCAGGGCAAAAAAATTTAAATAAGAAGTCGATAGTGGCAGCAAAAATGGTCTTCAAAGCATTTATCTTTAACAGGAAAATTATGACCCTCATTAGTGGTAGTACTAGCCACGTTGTTTCCTAGACCTGTTAACCATCTTAAGAACCAACAGAGCCACAAGAACTTGGTTGTGTACAGATAGCAGATCAAATCAAACAGAAACAATCTCAACTGATTGCCAAGCTTGCTTAACACGGAGATTCATGCATTTAGGAAGTTATTCTATAGCACTAACCAGACTACTGTATTTTTAACCCACTACTAAGATAAAGTTATTTAACAAGCATTTATCAAGAATATCTTCTGTGAAAGGAAATGGGCATGTACTTTGAAGTTTTCCCCCATATTTGATTTTTAGGAGGTGTATGTATTTATAGTGGTTTCCATACTCTTGCTCAGTCTTCTTTATGCATTATTTCTGAATGACTCACTAGGATTAAAGATACAGTTGATTTTATAAATACAAAAAAAGCTAACTGAATGGCCAGGTATTTAACATGAAACATTGGTCATTTCATAAGCCTGCTAACCACCTGACTCAACTGTGTCACAGTCATTTGTTGAGTTTCTGTGACTTTGAACATTTGTTACATTTCAGACGAGATTTTAATTCAAGATAGCAGTAGCTCACTCATTTTGCTCCATCTTTTTCTGCCCTGTTCTGACTTTGTTAATGTCCTTTGCTGTCTGAGACAGTCTTCCTAAATAAGAAATGTTTATTTGCATTTCTGGAATAAAGTTAGGAAAGAGGAAAGTACTTTATGCTGACATCTTTTTATGTGTGCTATAGACATGCAGAGCCTAGAGAAGCTATTGAAAGATGCCATTGTCTGTGGTCAGCCTCGGACACGAAGGCCCTGGAAGAAGATTCTAATCCTTGTGGAGGGAATATATAGGTAATCCTGCTTTATGATTCTAATCTTTCTGATTTGGTTCCATGAAGTCTTAGAATTTTTCAGCCTCACTTCATTTTCAAGGGAACACTAATTAGACCCCTCTGGAAACTAAGGAGACACTGTTTTTGACTTGTTAAAGTACCTGGAAGCAGAGTTAGCTCTAGGACAAAAGTCTTTTTGTCTGGCTTTTAATCTTTCCATCATGGTACGTGGTCCTCAAATCTCCCTTCTATTTAGATCCTTTATTTTTCTGTTTATAGAGGGAATTTGTATATAGGTCAAGAATTGAAATATGTTTTCTAATATGTCAAAACAAGTTACACACCATTTAATGTTAAGAAATTTTTATTTTATCTATTTGCAGCCCTTCCACTTATTTTCTTACCTCCTAATGTTTTTTAATTCTTTCTGTAGAATTTCAATTGCATACCTATGTGATGCAGAGTCTAACGTTGCCTATAATTACAAGCTTTAGAAGAATCTGCTGTGACTTTTATTCCTCTGTAGTGAATTAAGATTAATTGTGTTCTAGTACTTGTTTTAAAAGATCCAGTCTAGCCATGGCATCATTTGATTTTGCCAGTTTAAAACCACAGGCAGAGTTGTTAGACTTTTTCAAAAAGCAGTAAAATTCAGAAATTAATAAAGTGGCCAGCTCCTAATTTTGAAGAGTTAAGAAGTTTCAGTGTATGTATTGTTTACTCTGTTTTGCCAGCATGGAGGGATCCATTGTTCGCCTTCCTGAGGTGATTGCCCTTAAGAAGAAATACAAGGCATACCTGTATCTTGATGAAGCCCACAGCATTGGGGCTCTGGGCCCTGCGGGGCGAGGTGTGGTAGATTACTTTGGCCTGGATCCTGAGGATGTGGACGTTATGATGGGAACATTTACCAAGAGCTTTGGTGCTTCTGGAGGATACATTGGAGGGAAGAAGGTAAATGGGCTGTGATTATTGAGCAGTTAAGAATAAAGGCACTGGCTACTAGGTTTGGTAAGTCATGTCTAATAGCTTCCAAACTGGGATGCGAGATCCTGAATTTGTGGCTTAGGCTCATGGTGCCAGCGGGTTCACACTTCAGCTGCCTGGTGAGTGACTGAGGCATTGAAGGCTCGTTCTGTTCATTGTTTGTTGTTTTCTTCTTTGAGCTTCTTTCTAAACTACATGCTGGTTTGAGATATAGAATACCCTCTTGTATGAAAGAATACACAGTGGTGCTGCCTGTTCGCCACACTCTTTTGCTGGGTTTGAGTTGTGCTCAGTTTCAAAGTAGTGGGGTTGTCATGGGAGCTGATGGGAATAAAAGGCCAAGTTCCTTGCCCTTAGACTTAAATGCATCTTGGGTGAACATAAAGACAGGAAGAAAAAAGATTATTTTGTTAGCTCTGGTGTATTATAAGGCTTTGTTTTTTTATTTTGTTTTGTGGGTTTTTGTGTTTTTGGTTTTTCAATTTAAAAATCATATACTGACCTCTAAGCCATTTGAGGCGTGTGGCATGGTAAAAATGTTTGAACCATGGAGACAGAGGCCTGGGTTTGATTATTTCCTTAACTTTGTGAGACCTTGGACAAAGCATTTAACTTTTCAATTTCCTTATCAGTAAAGCAGAGGTAAATATGCTGGCTTATAAGATTGTAGTAAGGGTTTAAGAAATAATATATGTCCATGCTGCAACATGGATGAACCTTGAAAGCTTTATGTTAAGTTAAAGAAGGAAGTCACAAAAGGTCACGTTATATTATTTCTTCAACTAGAGGCCCGGTGCACAAAAATTTGTGCACTGGGGGGGGGGGGGTCCCTCAGCCTGGCCTGTGCCCTCTCGCAGTCTGGGACCCCTTGGGGGATGACCACCTGCTGGCTTAGGCCCGCTCCCCGGGGGATTGGGCCTAAGCTGGCAGTCAGACATCCCTCTGGCAGCCCGGGAGCCCTCGGGGATGTTCACTTGCCAGCGGGGAGCAGGCCTAAGCTGCAGTCGGACATCCTTAGCTCTGCTGAGGAGGCAGGAGAGGCTTCCACCACCACCGCTGTACTGGCAGCCGTCAGCCTGGATTGTGGCTGAGCAGAGCTCCCCCTGTGGGAGCACACTGACCACCAGGGGGCAGCTCCTGCATTGAGCGTCTGCCCCCTGGTGGTCAGTGTGTGTCATAGTGTCCAGTCATTCCCAGTCGTTCTGCTGTTAGGGTCAGTTTGCATATTACCCTTTTATTATATAGGATAGAGGCCTGGTGCATGGGTGGGGGCCGGCTGGTTTGCCCTGAAGGGTGTCCCGGATCAGGGTGGGAGTTCCGCTGGGGTGCCTGGCCAGTCTGAGTGAGGGGCTGATGGCTGTTTGCAGGCTGGTCAAGCCCCCCCCCGCCCCCCGAGTGGGGACCCTCACCCCATGGAGGTTTGGCCAGCCTGGGTGAGGGGCTGAGGGCCGTTTTCAAGCTGGCCACAGCCCCCCTGGCGACAAAAGCTCCCAGCCTCTCCTTTTTTTCTTTTCTTTTTTTATTCTGGGATTTATTAACCTTCTATAATTGAAACTTTGTAGCCTTGAGAGGAGCTCAGAGCCGGCCAGGGCGGGTGGGAGGGAAAGCCTTCTGCTCGCTCCAGCTCTGTGGCCATGCCGGCTGAAAGCAAGTATCTGGGGTTTATTTATCTTCTATAATTGAAACTTTGTTGCTTTGAGTGGAGCTCAGAGCCCGCTGCGGCAGGTGGGAAGTTGGCTTCCTCCATCATTGGGGTAACCAGGCCTCCTGCTCGCTCCATCTCCGTGGCTGCCGGCCGCCATCTTGGTTGGGTTAATTTGCATACAGTCGCTCTGATTGGCTGGTGGGCATGGCTTAAGGCGTAGCGAAGGTACAGACCATTTGCATGTTTGTCTTTTATTAGTGTAGATATGCTTCATCCAGAATAGGCAGATCATAGAGATAGAAAGTAAATTGGTGGTTGCCAGGGGTTGAGGAGCTGGAGGAAGTGGAAAGTGACTGCTAATGGGTGTGTGGTTTCTTTTTGAGGTAATGAAAATGTTCTAAAATTAGGTAGTGATGAAAGTTGTATAGTTCTGTGAATATACTAAAAAACACTGAATTGTACACATTGAAAAAGTGAATTCTATTGTATGTGAATTCTATCTCATTAACACTGTTACTTTGCCCTAGCCAGTTTGTCTCAGTGGATATAGTGTTGGCCTGCAGACTGAAGGGTCCCAGGTTTGATTCCTGTCAAGGGCACGTACCTAGGTTGCAGGCTTGATCCCCGGCATGATCGGAGCTTCTTTGGGCAGCAACCAATCGATATGTCTCTCTCAAATCAGATTTTCTCTCTCTGTCTCTCCCCTTCCCTTCCACTCTCTTTAAAAATCAATGGACAAATATCCTCGGGTAAGGATTAACAAAAAAACGCTGTTATTTTAAAAACTGCAGTTTTAGGAAAAAACAGTGTATATTAAGTATTTGTATGTGGCATATAGTTGGTAATCGTAAATTTCTTTAATTCCTCTTTAATACTTTGGAAATCTTAAAGCATGGACTTTCTCTTAATAATTGATTGCCCTTTAGAGAAAATCTATTATCAGTGGTTTTAGTCAAGTTTGGTAGATTTTTTTACCTTGAGTTTTGATAATGGAACCAGGCTACTTTGGAGAGTTGATTGCCTTTTGGTTAAGATTTATTGCCAAATCAAAGGACAGAAAATAATACTCTGGGAGGTATTTTAGGTACATTATATTTATGTTATTGTGGGTTTTATATAATTTTGCGTATTTTTGAAGTGATACACTATTAAAAAGCCACATTATGTGTCTTCTTGATTCTGGTACATGAACTTGTTTGTGTGAATGTTTAAAGACTTAGTGAAGTTAGAAGGTATCAGTGATTGGGGATAGACAACTGATTTCTTTGAAAACCTTGTATCTTATAGACAAGGTTTTTCTTTATTCTTTATTGCAGGCTTTAGTGTTCTGTGAAAGACGCAGTGAATTTCTGCCACATATAATTTTATAAATATCTGTGTGGAGGATATTGAATGCCTTTAAAATTGATTTAGAGAATTGCTTTTCTCTGATTTAGGAGTGTAAGGAGGGCTTTGCAGATGTGGGATAAGATGCAGATGATATTTTCTTTAATACTTACAAGTAAACCACTTGTCCAAAAGTAATATAAACACTTCCTTGTTTAATTCTGCATTATAGATCTATTTATATCATTAAATGATACCCTGTCCAAATTTAGAGGGTTTCTTTAAAACTACTTTCTCATTCTCTGTGGCAGGTTTAAAAAATAAAACAAAGCGTAAGGACGTTGCCATGTGTCCAACCTAGTTGGTTGCCCTTGCCTCTCAGATTAGTGTCCCTATTCCAGTCTGCTGAAGGGAGGAGGAGCCTGCTTTCTCCTGGAAGGTAGGCAGTGACATTGCCGGTGAACCCAAACATTGCCTCTGATGCCTTGCTTCTGTGAATTCCCCAGGAGCTGATAGACTATCTGCGAACACATTCTCATAGTGCAGTGTATGCCACGTCACTGTCACCGCCTGTTGTGCAGCAGATCATCACCTCGATGAAGTGCATCATGGGGAAGGATGGCACCACCCTTGGTAAGTTGTTCTTTCCTTGGAAAACGTCCTGGCCTCTGTTAATATTTAGCAACCAAACATAGGTTTGTTGTAGAGCTTTTTGCCTAAAATGAGGAGCCAGGTACCCTAATCAGCAAGCTGGCAGGTGTGTGAGGCCTTGGTTTCTATGGTCACTCTTCAGTGTTTGATACACATGCCATGAGAACTAGTCTGGCTTGCTTCCTGTTGAATTTTATTCTCTACCGGTGGTGAGACTTTAATCTAACAATCCTCCCTACCCTTATTAATCACAGGAAATAAGTCTTTAGGATCTTTCTTGAATTGCACAATTTTATGTGAAAATAGAATTCACTATATAGTGATATTTCATTCCCATGGTATTTAAAAGCTGCTGTTTTCATGAATTAGTGTCCTTGACTTGGTGCCTTGAAAAGAGTTTGTAATTTAACATACAGTAGCTAATATAGGTCATCCTAAATTTGTTTATTCTGTCTTTGGTGGAATTTGTATAGTAGGTGCCCTAACTTAAAATACTAAAATGAACAATCAAGTGTGCGTTTGCTTTCAATAGTTCACTTTTATTCTGCATCCCTAGGAGGCAGTGTTAACTGCAGAAAAGTTACAATGAAAGGGGAGCAGGTGGATTTTTGTGTGTGTTTTTTTCACTTTTAAAAGTATTTTAATTGAAGAGCCATACATTAATTGTGCATGTTGGTTTTTTAATGCTTCTAAAATCATTTTTACTGTCATAAAAGATCTCACATTCTCAGCCTTGAGCTCTAGACTTTTTAGTTAAATAACACTGTAGTAAGATTAATTTGGTTTGCATTGAAAAACAAGAAGTGATATGTCTGATTTTGATTGATTTAAACCTGTTTTCTTAAGTCAGAATTTTACCTTAATATTACTATTACTTCTGATCTGTGATACATGCTTGTTATCTCTAGTGAGAGATTTTTTGGAAATAGATTTTTGAAGTGTTGGTCATTTTCAATTTCATGAATTGATTTCTGGAGAAAAAACATTTCGTTAATATTTTGAACACAGCATGGAGCCTTGAGCTTAGCTCCCTCTTAACAGTCATAATGTTATCTTCTCTCCTCCCCACATGGTGTTATTGAAATAGTGTGCTTTGATCTGAGATACAGTGATATATCTATTTATCTATATAGCTAGCACTTATCAAGCTACTTCACATAGATGCATCAACCTTATTGATTCAGCAGACAGCTTTAGACAACTAAAAAAATGGACGGCTAACAGCTATCAAAGTTAACTTTGGATAATTTATTTGCCCTACCCCAGAGCGTGAATCTGTGTGATGCTGACCTCTGGATAAGGATAAGTGACTTATCTGTACTAAATAATGAAATCTAGGTGGTGAGAAAATGAAATATGGTAATTAGATATAGGCTTTGGGTTAGCATTCATTTTTCAGTTTATTGCCTCTCTAACCACCCCCGCTAAGCTTAGTGGCATGAAACAACAGCCATCTTATTATGCTCACAGATTCTGCGGGTCAGGAATTTGGTCAGAACACAGCAGGGATGGCTTGTCTTTGCTCCACAATATCTGGGGCTTAAGATTGGAAGACTCAAGCCACTGGGCTAGACTCAGATGGCAGGGGGCTGGGATCATCTGAAGGGTTCCACACTCACATGTCGCCTGGGCTGGAGTGACTAGAAGGCTGGGCCCAGCTGAGGCTCTTGACCAGAGCACCTTCACATGTCCTCATCATGTGGCATGGGTTCTTCATAGCATGATGACTAGGGTATCCAGAGAGGATGCTTCAGCAAGCAAGTGTTCCAAGGAACCTGCTGCAACCCCGTGACCTTTTCTGATCTATTGTTATGAGCAGGTGACTAAGGCCAGCCCAGATTGCAGGACATGGGAAATCACACTCCATCTCAAATGGGAGGTGGGTCAAAGAATTTACGACCATTTTAAAAAATTGCCACTACCAGCTTTTAAGTAATATATTTTTAAAATTACTCTCTAAAGCTTTTCTTTATTGTTGACACTGTTACAGATGTCCTGTTACCCTCCTTTACCCTCCTTCACCCAGCCACCACCCTCTTCACTAAAATTTTAAATTAGTATGACAAACTTCTGTTGCCTACATTGTTTCTCTGCCAAAATACAGGATAATAAAAATCTAACCAAAAGTAGACTTACATGCCATTTTTCATAAAGCCTTTTAACTGATCTTAATTAATTTGGCCTGATTTATTTTATTTTTGAGTGCATTAGGTAATGCTTATTTTTATGGCACCACTGAAAGCATCTTTTTATTGTCCTTATAGAAAAAGAGCTGTGAACCATGCAAGAACCTCTTTACTATGTCTTAAGGTGGTCTTAAAAAGAGGCATCTCCAATTAATTACCTGAGTGTGATTTTACAATAGAATGGCCTGCTTTAAGAGAAAGTTAATCTCTGATGTTCGAGACATGGCATCTCATTGATCTCACAAACGTTGAGTATCTCACTAAATGTTAGATGGTGTGAATCAGAATCCACAGGGAATAGGCATACAAGCAGATCATTTAAGTGACGTATATACTTGGGGAGTATTGGGGATGCAGGGGATAGTGGGTTGTTGATTAGTCCCAGAGACTAGTGCTGCATAGAAAAATTGAAGTTTTATTAATCATAACATATGCTGTGTGTTAGCAAGTGGTAAGTACTTTGGGGAAAAGGTAAGCCAGGATGGTGGGCGATCAGGAGTTCTGGGGACCAGTTTGCAATTTTAATTAGGGTGGTCATTGAAAGGGTAGGATTTTAGCAAGGACTTGAAGGTGAAGCTTTAGCCCTGAAAATCCAGGGATAGAAGGCCCTCAGATGGAGGCTACTCTTTCCTGTACTTTGATGCTTTTACTCTGTGTTCAGGAATAGCAAGGAGGCCACTATGGCCAGAGCATAATAGTACAGGTGAGTGAGTGAGGTGAGGATAGAGGTTGTGCAGAGTGTAGAAGTTCCAGCAGGGGGCAGTCTTACCTTGTAAAAGTATTAGATTGATACAAAAACAGACACAGTTTTTGGTAATACAAGGATGAATGTAATAAAATATTAGGATAATGCTGTTTTAGAAAGATGGAGACTTTACCAAAAATGAGCTTTCAGTTAATAGGCAGTATTATTGGGGCAGAAACACAAAAGCCTATTGGTCGGTTGGAGTAGATAGGCTTAGGGATTTCACTGTATATGAGTTATACCAAAGCTGAATCTATGAAAGTTGACTAACGCTTTACTAAATTTTTTCCAAGTATATGTCATCTCCCCTATCAGATTATAAATTCTTTGAGGGCAGGGACTCATGTCTTGCTCCTTCTTTGCATCTTTTCTTTCTTCTTCTTTTTTTTTGGGTGGGGGTGGTTATCCTCAATAGAGGATATTCTTGCCATTGATTTTTTTTTGAGAGAGTGGAAGGGAGGTGGAGAGACAGAGAGAAACACTGATGTGAGACACACCGATTGGTTCTCTCCCACACTCTGACCTGAGCTAGAGATCCAGCCTCCAACTGAGGTTTATGCACTTGATTGGAATCGAACCCGGAACCCTTCAGTCCACAGACCGACGCTCTATCCACTGAGCCAAACTGGCCAGGGCTCCTTTGCATCTTAAATAGTGCTTATTTCAAGACCTTAGAGTCAATAATTGACTTCATTGTTCTCAAATTATTATCTCTCTTCCCCAAGTAGAATGAAAATTGGGAGTTTTGGCCACCTTTTATTTCTTCTGTTTAGAGCTGTGTTTGGCACATAGTAGGCACACAGTAAATACTTGGTGGATGATTAAATGAATAATCTTTTGGTGCCTTGAAGAGAGGCAATATGACTTAGTGACCTATGATTTAGTCCTTTATTATATTCTTAAACTCTGAGAAGTTAAGAACTCTGTACACCTAAAGAGGATAACATTAATCATTCACTCTTTCAGGATTATTTCTGAATTAAAGCCTCATGTATACTGACCAATGTGACTTAGGAAAAAATATACAATAGATTTATGATTGATAATTTGTTTTTTTTAATATAAATGCAATATTTGATTTGATGCTGTTACAGATTTTCTTTTAGTGGGAAAATCTTCATACTCTTATGATACAGTTGGTTTGGCCTTTACTATCTTAGCCAGGTCCTCTTGTAACCAGAAGCAACTATTTATAAGCTAGGTTTCAGAGCCAGGGAAGCATTTACTCCATTTTAACTTGCAGATTTTGTATCTCATTAGTGATATAGATATAGAAATTAACCCTTGGAAGAACATTAAAAATCAAATTAGAGAAGCTAAACTTAGTTTTTTATAAAAAGGACTTACAGGTAACTATAAAGCAGGTTAGACTTTAATTAAAATATAAATACTTGCTTGTCATTAAATACTTCAGTTGATTTTAGGGTTGTCTATTAATATCTATTTTATTCCAAGCAAAGACATGACCTGTGTCAGATTGTAGAATTTATGGCACTATATGTCCTTCACATTCAGTGGCTACTATTCTCTCTCTGTGGGCTTCGTATGATTTTCATCTTTTTGCCCCCAACCAGAGTTAGTGGATCTGAAATAGTTGCTTCGTAATTATAATACTTAATGAGCTATGAAATATAAAACAAGTCTTTCATTTAAGATGAAGTCAAAACTAAAATATGACTTGAGATCTAGGGGATTAAAAAATGAGAAAATACTTAGCCTTGACACTTGAGAAACTTTCTTTTAACACAAATGTAGTGAAATAATATTGTTTTTAATTAGTTTCTAGTGTTTAGGGCCAGTTAGAGCTAAGCATTCAAGGTTTAGCTATGGTTATAAACCAGATGTAAATATCAAAAATCTTGACAGTGTAAAAGTAGCCACAAGAAGGCTGGAGATGTAGAAAGTAGGGAGAGGGAGGTGAGGGCTTACAAGTGTGTCAGTTTCTGTCATCATACTTGTTGGAAAGTCGGTAGATACTACCAAGTTTATAAGAAATAGTTAAGAAATAGTCTTTAAATTTATGAAGTTATGTAATCAGCCACAAGAAGACT